GGTAAAAATATCGTGTAATTTGTTTCATTTGATGATTAATGCGAATCATTTTGTTTTAAATATTTCAGCATTTCCTAAACGCATTTTTCTGCTCTCTTAACAAATAGAGTATTATGCAAAAGCATAACAAATTTGCATGAATTAATTATTCCAGTTCACAAAACAATTATTGCTACAAAAGCTGACTTACGGAAAATAAGTATTACTCACATCTGAGAATATACACTATATACACTATCCACCTTCACAGCAATGCTTAAATAACAAGTTTGCATGAATTAATTATTCCAGTTCCCAAAACAATTATTGTTACCAAAGCTGACTTACAGAAAATATGTATTACTCACTTCTAAGAATATACACTATATACAATGGCGTGCAAAAATTAAGGAAAAAGTCGAAAAATTAGCATATCAGCTGAACGAAGAGGCAGAGCGAACAGAAAGACCAATCAGGAGATTAAGTAAGGTGATGTACGGTAGCACATGCGCAGATAGGCAGGTAGACGTAATGAGGGAGTGTCTGAGTAGTATAAAGCATGTTGTCGGTGTAAGATAAGTATTTCTGGCAAAGAGATTGCACGCCGTATAGCAGTTAAAATCACACCGAGTTGCTGCCTCAGCGACAAATGGCGAATAATCAATCTGTTAGACGACATACGGATGCTTTTACCCGAGGTCGAATCATTGGGAAGTTGGAGGAAGGCCGCAGTTTGACAAGTGTGGCTGCAGAGTTCGGAATTGCTCACAGCATCGTTTCACGACTTTGGAGACAATTTCAAACTACAGGAACAGCTATCCTGGGGTTTAGTAGTGGTCGTCCACGAGGAACCACACCCGCAGATGACCGGTATATTGCCTTACAGGCCAGAAGAAACAGGCGGCAGACAGCGGGAGAAATCGCTAGACACACGACACAGGCGACTGGACGACCGATATCGCGTTATACCCGTGGCCAGAAGACTGCACGGTGGTGGTCTGTTTTGCACGACGCCCTGTACGGTGTGTACCTCTAACGCCTGCCCATCGGAGAAGGCGTTCTCTGTGGTCCCGGGAACACCGGAATTGGTGAGACAATGAATGGGGACGAGTACTCTTTACAGATGAGAGCAGATTCAGTCTGAGTAGCGATTCTCATCGCATACTCATCTGGAGAGAGCGGGGAAGCCGCAATCATCCCTCGAACATCATTGAAAGGGACAGGTATGGAGGTGGCGGTGTTCTCGTTTGGGGAGGCATCATACTTGGTAGTCGTACACACCTTCACATCTTCGACGCAGGTTCAGTCAACGGGACCCGTTATTGTAACGAGATTCTTCTTCCATATGTGCGTCTTTTTAGAGGCGCTATGGGTCCGCAGTTCCTTTTCATGGACGACAATGCACCATGTCACCGCACAGTAGCTGCCGAACAGCTCTTAGAGAGTGAGGATATTGAACGTATGGATTGGCCGGCACGATCTCCGGATCTTAATCCCATTGAGCATGTATGGGATTTTCTAGGCAGACGCTTGGCAACTCGTACCTTACCACCAGTAACGATTCCGGAGCTTCGATTGGCGCTGCAAGACGAATGGGCAGCAATGCCTCAACAACTCATTGACACCCTCATTCTCAGCATGGGCAGACGCTGTGAAACCTGCCTAGCAGTCAGGGGAGATCATATCCCCTATTAAAGACCGGATATTTCTTGCTGGACACCCATCACAGGGATGTTTCGGCCTTCAGTCGCATTGCGCTCCATGCTACTTTTTCAATAAAGCTTCTTTTTATCCCTCTGATTTCTCTTTTAGTAAGTGTTGCTTACATTACTCGTGTCTTTACGTATTGGGGATCTTACGGTATTAAATGTGTTGATTTGGAAAGCTTTTTGTACAAAGTTATATTGAAAAAACCGTCTCGTCCTTAATTTTTGTACACCAGTGTACACTATACACCTTCACAGCAATGCTTAAATACTATTCGTAGCTCATACGGTAAACTGAATGAAACTCGGCTGTTTATGCGTTAAAGTACAAAAACTCCTTTATTTAATCAACACATATGGGGAGTATACACTTATTCTGCGACGTTGTACCGTGGTCGTAAATGTAATGTGAAGAAAATGCAACATTGAGAGGTCACTGCAACTAAGTGTGGTGTATGGGACTATTAGTTAAGTGGCCGCACGGCACGAGACATGAGTTCCTGGGTAGAAACCCTACCCCAGATAAATAAATATAAATAGTCTAACGTATAAATAACAGATCTATAAGTGTAAATGGTAGTTCCGGTAATAAAGTAAGTCCAAAAATAGTGAAGAGTAAGGTGAGTAAATGAGCAAGTAGAAATGAGCATATGCAAGTAATAAAAGAAATTATATCCTACTCTGTATGCTGTTAGATGTTTTTTTAAATTATATGTTCTATGTAATTCACCAGTTCAATAGCTTTGCCTATAGTAGATTATGCACTTTACTTTCTAATAATTTTAGAACTGTAATTCACTATTCCGTAACATCTGTATTAGTTCATTGCAATGTTTGCAAGCAAATTATTTTTCGAGGTAGGTCACCATAGACCAGTTAATTAGATATTTGCACCACTAGAAATAAAGGCGAACTTACTGGTTAATTAATGTATGGTGTCTTATCATCATACATTATTTAACAAAACGTAATATTACACACACACACATTACACACATATATATGTATGTATATATCTATATATATCATATATATATATATATATATAGATATAGATATAGATATAGATATATGCTTTTATCTAATCTATATGTAATATTTTCTATCTCAGCCAACTCAACCTCTTTTTGCCTCTCAGCCAACTCAGCGAAATCGAACTCTTTTACGTAATCTTTATTTCATATTTTCTTTTTCTGCTGAAAGAAATTTCCCAAAGATTCATCTCGGACAACGCAACGAAATCGAACTTCCTTCTTATCTTTCTGGTGAAGATATCATTCTTTCCGCAATGTCCATTTTCCGCTTTTCTTGCAAAGTTTGACTAAAATTATCTTAATGCGGGGGTGGTTTAGACATACAATTACTCCACTAAATGTCTGGCTTTCAGCTGGCGTCCAGGGGTCGCTATTAGGGCCTACGCCTTTCAATATTTATGTGAACGATATACCCACCACCCCCAACACTACACTAGGAATGTATGCTGAAAAAATGCAATTCTTGCTTAAAATGCAATTCTTAGCCCAGTGATACATCTTCCAAATCACATACATGCACTAGAGGCCTCGCTACTGAATCGGAAACTTCCGGTCAGCGTTGAAAAAACAATTGCCATAGTCTTCACTAAGACGAGAAAAGTTGAACAAAATCTGCTGTTTTATGGAATCTCACTGCCCTAGCTAAGCAAGTCACTTATCTGGGAGTGATCCTCACAAATTCTTTCACATGGTCCCCACATATACATTCCGTTACTCAGAAGTTTCGTGTTCGTAAAGCTAAACTGAACCCCTTAATTGCCCTAAACAACCTTCTCTTTATAGATAATAAGTCGCTCATTTATAAATCCATTCTGCGTTCCATGCTTTGTTACGCTTGTCCAGTCTGGACAAGCGTATTCATGTAAAACTCTACTTAAAAAACTGCAAACTGCCCAGAATGTTGTTCTGCGGCAAATTACAAACGCACCGTACTCAGAGGCGTAGCTAGGGTTTTCAGCGCCCGGGGACAACTGAAGATTTTGCGCTCCTTTCTCTTTGCCAAGATAGGAAAACATTTCATTCTAAAATTTCGTAACATCAATTTGACGCCCTCTGAATGCTGCGATGCTGCGACAGATGTCTCCCCTTGCACCACCCTAGCTACACCACTGATCGTACTATATTAGAAACAATGCAATTCATGAGGAACTAGGCATAATTCAATTGAGTTTTACTACCACTTGGCCAGACAGTTTCACATTCGTTTACATTATAAGTAATTCTGAACTCAGAATTTATAATTACGATTATATGAGCGATATCAATAATAATAATAAAAAAGCCAATGCTCATTCTCAATCCAACTGTAGTCATGGAAGTGCGATTTTTATATTCACGTTTTTTATGTTATTCGGTATTCTTTTGTTTTTATTTATGTATATTTATATCTTGTGTGTATTGTATGCATTTGTTCACGACTTGAGACATTTGATTCAAAATTACCTTGATAACATAGATTCAGTTAGACAGCTTTGAGGCTTGAATTTATAGTGCGTGAGTCTTTTAAAAATTTAAATAATAATAAAAAAAAAACACTATATTCCAAATACGTTACTTTCTATAATATTCTGAAACTTTCAATTATGTTCGGTTTGGGGTGAGGAGTCAGCCTAGATACCCAGGTGTACCAAAGACCGTTCCATAAGAAGTAAGGGGTTAGCCTTTGCATCAGATATACAAATTAATGTAGAGCCTTATTCCAAGGCATTTTGTTTTGAATTCTCTACATCATTTTGGAGTTTCATTTATTATATATTCAACTTTCATATCTTGCAAAGACATTGACTTTGCTCCCGACAAAGCAGGAATAGGACTTTGTTTGTACCTTACTTCAACCCATATTATTACTCTCAACGCATTTTATTATTCTAGTGTTAGCGCATTTATATACTTTGCAAATAATTTTCAAGTCCTCATCACAAGAATATAATTTCTTGATATATAATCTACTTCATCTATGTTTCAACTTTATTTTGCATTTTCTCATACAGCAAATAACATTTTCATGTTTGTTTAACTTAGATACGAATCTAAGTTGCGAAAAAGTGCTTATTCTTCTATTTCCAGCCAAACGCTTTAGAGAACAAAGCCAACTAGAGGGCAAAATCCCTAGCGGTTGATGCCAACAAGAACCACCAGCGATGTCCGACTGATCCAGCTAAATGCAAGCCTTTGCTTCACTATAGGGAGTTGTAGCCAATTGCAACGTCACAAGCATAAAGAGAGCAGACACTGCGCAGCGGGAATTCAAGTCTTGCCAATTTGACAGCTTGCGGTAAGCAAAGAATATGCATTGTTCTTTGGAACATAGACATTCTGTGGTGGTAAGTGCCGATCGTGAAAGGGTGTGTGTTGAAAAATACGTTTTGTAATCAGAAGGTAGAACTTGAGTTGAAGACTAAGGCAGAAATTTGGTATTTTGAAGGAACTGTTTTATTGCTTTAGAATAATGTAGATATTGGTTGTTATATTATTGTTCATTTTCTTATATTGTAGGTTGGGTTTAAGTATATTTTCGTAAATTTATATATACATAAAGCAAGGAATGACTTAATTTTTTTTCTTTTAATTAAAATTTGAAATAACGCTTGTCCACGTTATTTATATAATAGAAAATTATGTACAGAGGCGTAAATAACTGAAGAAAAAATTAAGTTCTGATTTGTTCTCATATGTTGCAAAGATGCTTAAATTTAATAATGAGTTTGTTTCAAAATTCGAATAGATTGGTATTATTTTAATATACTTGGCACCTGTTCCTATCTATGTGTGTAGTTAATTTTGTTATTACTTTTCATTACATGGTATTATTTTAATATACTTAGCACCTGTTCCTATCTATGTGTATAGTTTTGTTCTTACTTTTCATGATATTTATTATTGAAATATTTCTCTACATGTTCTGATTCACTTTTAAACGAATTGTAACTAGGATATGAGTTTTGATAATGCATCTGAAAGTGACGATGAAATGCAGAGAATTAAAGTGTTTCTCTACTTTCAGTAAGTCATGAACTTTCTAATAAATTTTCTTTTATGTATGCTTCAGATATGTGCGATCTGTAACTGAATGGAGTGTATTATATTTAAGCCCCGAATTGCAATGACTTTAGCAAAATTGTTTACATAACTGAAAATTGTAAATTAATTTAAACTGAGAAATTAGTTCAGTTCCATGTATTGTAGAAATTTAATAGGAAAAGAAACCTGTATGGTATAACATAATCTATTATTTAATTTCATTGTATTTATTATTGTTGAACTTTTTACTTATGTATAAACTTATAAATTTGTACAAAGCTGATGTACTCAAATTTGAATTCTCATTTTGATTTCATGATGAGGTATATCTTATGGTGCTCTCTTAATATATATATTTCGGAATTTGTAGTACTTTGGCCATTCATTCATCAAATAATGCAAGGTAATTTACAGGACTGTTATTCACATGAAATGAAAACTGAATGTTACCAACAGCCATTGGAGTGTGTATCAGAGCCATTGCGACCAGCGTGGCAGTATTGGCAGCAGAATTTAGTGGTTGCAAAAACTTCACAATTTAGAGAAGCATTGAGCAGTAAAATTTAGGAATAGAATAATTTTCAGACTTTAGGAGAGGCATTGCGTACCAGAATTCAGTGGAAGCAAAATTTTTAAAATTTGTGGAGGCATCAGTTGGAATAATTTAGGATCTACAGAAGGCAGTAAAATAACAAGTGCTGGCCCTGTCAGCCATAAACTAACATAAAACTAAATGGTGATCAGCACAAATCTGCACTTTTTCAATATTTACACAATGTAGTTTATTTAACCTAGATATACATTTGCAGTCTGATGTAAATTTGTAATTATTGTATTACTAAATATAATACTGTAAGCAATTTAAAATAAACAGATTATGTAAACATAACTGAAAATTGAATTTTAAGTTTTTCTAATAGCCACAATTCACAAATTGAATTAGTAATTCATCAGATACATTATTTTAGCCAACATGATGTTTGGATATGAATTTTGCTGGGTATGAATTTAAATAAGCGAGTTGTCTGCATTTTTTTCGCCATTTTATTAATTCACATACATATTTTATTTCTGGATGTATCAGCTTTTTTCCATCAAGGGCATATTGAAAATAGGAATGATATTGATGAAAGTATGGTAGTTATGGTAAAACTTTGATATTAGTGGAAATCAGCAATGCACAAAAAAATTGGGAGGGGGGGCTCATTTAGAATTACATAACATACAAAAATTTCTAAATTAATATGAATAGAAAATTCAAAATACACAAATCTGTTATATATAGTGTTACTAGTACCCCATGAATCTGAGATTAAATGTAAAACAAAATACGGTTGATCTTTACATTATGGTAACTTGGCGATTTTTTGGCGAAAATTTGGCAACCAACTCTCCTACAGCAACCCTCTATTTTTTTTTTTCCCCCGCCGCCATTTTGTATCCACGAAGTAAAGACATGCTTCTTTTCTTTTTATCTACTGAACACTTCTTCCAACAATCTACTAGCCGAATTACACTTATGCTAGAAATTTTATCAAACAAAACTGCTTAATCATGACAAATATTCACAGCAAAATTGGGAAAAAGTGCACAATACCATACTCCTTACGCGTTTTTCAAAATAACACATACACATAAACCATGTACACGCCGACTTATTTTTACTTAAAAAAACATCCCAGAATTGCACAAAAATGGCATTGCGCACACTCTTCACTATATCCATGTACACTGTTTTTTTCTCATAAATTAGCAAGCATTACAAATACTTAGTGTCAAATATTTAAATTATTTCCATGCACGTTTATTTCAACTTAAACGTATACCAAATTCCTACAAACATAAAATTCACAAAATAACTATCATTTCATTAAAATATAATTAAATTCAAAAACACTACTTAAAATATAAATGAGCACATACATTAAATTAATAAAAATTATATTACAATCCTAATTACTTTAAACTAAATCATTGCTAATAACAATTTTCCCAATAATACCAAATTCCTTTCCACCTTACATTTTGAACAATGCATAAAAATAATATCCTCAAATAATTAAAAATACTAACTTACCTAATCTTCTTCAGAATCTTGATTATGTGGCGGATACACTTTTCTAATTCATTCAATAAAATTATTGAAAGATTTTTTGTGCAAATTTTCCTCCATACTTTCCTACTTCCTCCGCTAAATAAAAAGCAAACTTCTCTCTATCACAATGCCTAAATACCCATTTCGAATTCACTTTATTTAGGGCCATGGGATCCAAAAATTAAACAACACTGTTTCACACAACACAGAATGAAGCTAAATACAAAATATCCACATTTTTTCCCGATTTCCCCCCCCTTTTCCGATTAAAGAACCGTAATTCGTCCATTAATATCACATGACATATCCCATGATCTCTCATTTCCCTCACGCAAAGTAATGCGTAATCGGAACTGAGTACTGCTCACATTATTACCAAAGTCCCAGGTAGTAACCTTTATCGCCCCCAAAATGTCGCCAAACTACCAGTTACCATATTGTAAAGATCAACCCAAAATACCTAACTGATAAGTTTCAGCAGTAAATTTGTGCTTAGTTTATATCCCAATTACATTATCTCTCTCATATATATATATATATATATATAAATATATATATAAACTTTTTAAAGATTATATAGAATGTATTTTTCACAGCAGATGCTGAGATAAATTTTCCTTTGATGACTAAAAATGTTCTTTACTTTTTTTTACTTCTACAGCACTGTAGAGTAAATATTATACCTTTCTTTTTAAGAGGCTAAAATCTACTAAATTGATTTTCATTTTATTGGAAAACTGCTTAAATGTTTGATAAAACTCTGTAAAGGCTGTAACTTCAACACTATACAAAAATTTGTGAAAATTTGCAAATATAACAGATTTTTGTTGTTTGAATTCTAAATTAATACAAAAATCTTAAAATATACTTGCTTATTTAGAAATATATTGTAAGAAGTTAATTGTTAAACCAATATGAGTAAGGAATGAAAGATATACAATTGTACTACATTTAGCAAAGCAAAATAAACTCTTTAATTTGTTTGGAGTGGTATACAAAATGAAATATTTCAATAATTTAGTGTAAAATATTCTGAAACATTTAATTTTTTGTTTGACAATCAATTGTCTATTTAATTCATATATTATCCTTTCCTTCCCAATAATTCTTTCTTTTATAGACTATGTTTAGTTATATGACCAAACTGTATTTTGTAAAAAAAGTACTTACTTGGTGCTTCTGTTAAGTTACTTCTGTTTTGAATAGTAAAATACTTTAACTGGCAAAGTTAGGAAGTAATTATAGTTTTTATTTTTAGGTCATCCAGTGAGAGTGAACAAAGCTTGCAAAATAGAATTTCTACAGATGGCTACCAAATCACATTGCCTCAGAAGAATGGTGGATCTGAAAGCAAAATATTTGTCTTTGATAAAATATTCAGCTCTGAAACATCAAAGGTAAAAGTGAAATTTATAATTTTAGTGACATTTTATTTTAGTTATGTATTATGATTTTAACAGTATAATTAATTCAAGAGCTATAATAGATTTCATTACAATTGTATAAATTTCACCTTTTTGTATATTGAGATTTCCCTTTTTTATCTTTATATTAGTTGAATTCTGAAAATTTGCACACCTTGAGAGCATGAATAATGCAGTTTAGATAGTTTTATGGATTACAGATCAGTGATTCTCATCCAGTTTTGCCTCCTCCACCCCTTTCAGCATTGGGAGATCATCTCCCTCCTTTTTCAAACCTTGAAAAATACTTATACACATTCATTTAGATTTAGGTTATTTTTTTTAAGTGTTTTATAAATTAAATAACAAAAATTATAGAAAATTCGGATAGATACCAAAAGATGAATAAAACTATTTTTTTTTTTTTTTTTTTAATATTCATAAACTACGTACTCAACAGTTGTCTCAGCTGAATGTAGGAATTCCCTTGGTTGAGAACCAATAAACCAGTAATAATAAATTAACACAGTTCTACAGTACAAAATTCCATTAATTCTTGCTTTGTAATCAATGATTAGTGATCTGGTTGAAGTATTATTTAATGATGAGTGAAATTGGTTAGAGTATTTTTCTATTATTAAAAAGTACAAGTAATAAAATTGTTTTTTTACATGTAAGTATTTTTGCATTTGCATTTAAGAATTAATAACTGCATTTTCAGATATTAATTACTATTTAAAGCTTCATCATTAAAAGTATTTTCTCACTGTATATTTTTATTATTTAAAAAATCTTTAAAAATTTTCTTGATTTCTTAAGAAAAATCTTGTGATTTTTAAGAGTCGTAGGTTGGCAAGTATGTATTCCAGTTCCAGTTCAAGTTACAGTTAAGCCAATATTATCTTGCATTTTTGTTGCAAGAAGTGATCACTTGGTGACTTTTCATATTTTCAAAATAGCTTAGTAGTGCTGTAACATCTAATCTATTTTTTTAATAACAGCACTTTAACTGTTTATATTTAGAATATTAGCAGCTAATTCCTTTATTTTTACATATTCTGAATGAGTGAATACATATATATATATTCAGTAATACTGGTAGAAAAAGGTTGGGAGACCTTCTTTATGAATGATAATTTTGAGTATGTATTGCCATTTGCTGCCAATGTAAACAAGCTTACTTGTGGTATGAAATGCTAACAAACAAATATCTTTTTTATGTGTGTTAACTACATAAAATTAATTTTAAAGATTAGGAAGACAGAAGTAGTAATTTTATTCAATAAAATTTGTCCGATTCAGAATCTGTCTTTGCTATAAATATGAAAATACAGTGCTGGGATAAGTGTAGAAAATGCTAAATACAGGGTTCGTAGCGGTCCTTATAAGTGCTTATAAGTCCTTATATTTGAAAATAAAATATAAAGGCCCTTATAGGTGTTTACTTTTACTTTAAAGCCCATTTTTTTTTGTTTTGTTTTTAGTGCTTTTAGTGCTTTTTTTTTTTAAATGAATGCACAATTTTTCCCCGTACCAAAGCCGAAACTAAATAAACAACTTTTCTTCCTAATATGGAATGTCAGATGGTGAATCATACTCCTGGAAATAGCTTTTCCCCCTTTCTCTGCATTAACATAACCTTTGGTGTGCGCGGAAAGTACAGACAGGTGCCCGTCATTCTGTTGGTCAAAGAATTTCGAAAGCAGTAGAAAATTTCGGTAGATTCGGCATTCTTTTCCTCCTACCCAAATACTAAACACGTTTGAATTTCTATCAAGATCTTAATAATTTACATTCTCGTTCCACTTGGTCGGTTCATATTCGTGTTTATTATGATCGTTATGCTTATATTATGAGTATATGTATGAATGTTTATAATAACATAGTTGCAGTAACAGTTGAAGTATAGTAAACTTCCAAAAATGGTTGTGTTTTAACACAGATTAGCTTTCTAAGGAATAATATTCGGAATGGCTTAAATAAAGGGAAAGTAATCAAATAGTCAAAATAATTTCATTTTTTTGGCCAATGCATTATACAGTACGAAGATTGGGAGGTTCTCCCCTTTCTCCGCAAAATCTCAAATATTGAAACTGTTACAGTTTGCTGCATTTTTTTTTTTTTTTTTTTTTTTTTTTTTTGTCGCTTTCCAATCTGGATTGAATAGGACTAAAAGTTTTGCGGTCTACCAACCCAAGCAAAGAATGATTCTATTCCAGAAATTTAACTCAGTCTGTTGAAAATTAGAATGAAAAACACCCCAGATTGGTAAGTCTCTTTCTTTTCCTTTATTTAATTCTTTATTCTCCCAATACTGACAACTGTTGAATCCGATTGCGTAATATCATGTAGGGAAGAATTACCACGCACGTATTGCGCAATAACATTTGCGATATTTTGCAGAGATAATTAATTTTGATGTTCGGTCTGAGATTTGTTTATGAACACTTAAAAGAGTTTTACTGTGCTTGAAAAGCAGAATATTTTTCTGTTCCATTGGTTTGTTTTAATATGATGCACATATCGAAATGTCAAAAGCATTTATTTAGCAGAAAAATCTAAAGAACGGCTTCAGTCTATCCCCCCTCCGCTCCTCTTTTTCAAGTTACGCTGGACTGTCCGAATATTCACCAATTTTCAAGTATGCGGGTAGTTAAGCTTTTACTGTTAAAGGCTGACTGCAGGAAGCAAATTTCTGTCTTCTGATTTCAGAAATGTTCCTCTTTTTTACTTAAATTACTTTGCTTGCAATATCTGTTGAAGGAAAATTGATATACAATGAAAATTTAGAAAATGTTCAGAATTTAGATTTAAATTAGTTAAATATCAATATGAGTGGAAAAATAAATTGTATTTATTATTAAGTTTCAAGCGAATAGAATAAATATGCTTTATTATTATTTATTTCCTCTATTTTGAACTGAAATTTCATCATTAAATCTTGTAATATAGTTTAGTTCTGCATATTTTTTCCCTCTCATTGTAAACTAGTTCTGTAAATTGAACTGTTATTTAAAATTAAAAAAAAAAAAGTAATTATTTTCCATGGTTGAAGTAATGCTTATTCTCTCTTAATAAATACTGCATTTCTCATATTTTAAATTACGAGTCTAATTTTTAAGGTTATGCAGTTGTGTATAATGTAATTAGACAGGTGCTTATTTTTTTTCTTAAAATGTGCTTGAAAAGTGCTTATAGGTGCTTATTTTTTTAACTAAAATGTGGCTATGAACCCTGTAAATAACTTCAATAATAAATTAATTTCTTTAGTCAAGATGCTATGCAGTACTTTTTTTACAGAAAAAAGGAATGATAAAGAACATGTGAAGAAGACTATTAATTCTCCAAGCTGAATTTTCTGATAATCAATTTTTTTTAATGGATTACAGGGGTTCATAGATTAAGCAATCGCTGATTTGAAAATTGTGCTGTATTTGAAGCTTAGCTTTTAAGTAATTTTAAATAAGCACTTCATTTATTCCGGTTTATGAAAGCAAAGAATTTTAGTAAGCTTTTTAATTCTGCTTAACTCTTTCACATCAAAGTCGCCCCAAACACCCGAGCATTCAGACAACGGCAGGTCACCCGAATGCCTGAATAATTTCCTACCTAGTACTTTCCCCTATCACGTTATAGCATTGCTCATTGCTTTCAGGAGTTGTTAAATGACACGTCAGTCATTCTTTTCAAGTGACTAATAGTAGTTCTGTTATTTTAATGCACCTTCTTTTTCCTTTGTTTACTGTCAATGTTAAGCTTATGGATGCCCAAAATTTTCTTGGGTGAAAGCATCCAAGAAAGAAGTTGCTTTACTTGAGTAGCTTATTGTTAGTGTTGTAGTATTCAATTTGTCATGGGGGAAAGAAACGCATTCCAACAGAACTTCATATACACGGGGGTTTTCGATGTTTGAGGAAAGGAGATTTGGTCCTCTCTCGATGTGAAAGAGTTAATTTAGAAAAGTATATGTTGAGTTAAAAATTTCAGTACTTTCGAACTGTTCATGTAAATATATTAAATCGGACATCAGAATTATAATTTTTTTTAACATGTGAGCAACAAACTGTTTGTTAGAAGATATTTCTACAAAATATAGTAAATTATTATACGTTATATATTGATTTTTCAAAGTAATCGATAAAGTATTATAAATTATTGAATTTTTTAATGTGAATTCTTTTCATCTTTTATATTCCCTATAAATTCAGGTTGCTTATAAATAATAGTTACACACACATGTGTATTGTTTAATGGAAAAAAATGTGAACTGCATCAAAGATATAAATCCCTAATTTTTCGTCTGCTTCACTTACAATTAAAATAAGTCTAGGTTAATTATCAGTGTTTTCAATTTGAAATATTTAAATAGCCCTATATGCTTATCTAATGTCTGTATTTATTATCCAAAAATTTGAATGCATGTTTCTAGGCGCAGCCATTACAAATGCCATTCACATCCTTGGGAAACTCGCAACAAGGACAAAATATGTGGAATAAACGAGTGGCTAATCTTTGGAATATGGTAACAGGTAGTTTGGCGACATTTTGGTAAGGCAATAAAGGTTACTAGCTAGGACTTCAGCAGTGTACATGGATAAAGTCAAGAGTGTGTGCAATGCCATTTTTGTGCAATTCTGGGATTTTTTAAGTGAAAATAGGTCGACGTGTACATGGATACTGTGTATGTGCAATTCTTAAAAATGCGGCAAGCAGTGGGCGATTCTGCACTTTCTCCCAATTTCGTACCTAATCTTCATCATGATTAAGCACTTTTGTTCCATAAAAGTTCTAGCATAAGCGTAATTCGGCTAGCAGATTGTTGAAAAAAAATGTTGAGTTAAAAAAAAAATGCATTTACTTCGTGAAAACAAAATGGCGTCCAAAAACAAAAAACTAGCAGGATGCTGTAGCAGGGTTGGTCGCCAAATTTTCCCCCCAAAATCGCCAAGTTACTACAATCTGAAGATTAACCAAACAAGTTCTCAGGCACCAGT